TTGAGCTACAGAGGACCACAATGAAGTGATCCACATGACAGGACAACAGATACTATGCCCCTCGAAATAACATTTACTTGATGAACAGAGGAACTCCTGTGTTTTCATCTTGAAAGCATGGTAATGATATCCACTTTAGAGGTGAGCTTAGTACAAGCCCCGCACTATCAGCACAAGTTCTTAACTTCTTAGCAGGTATACAACTGGACAAAAGGTTTGATGTACACTCTTAGAAAAAAGGGTTCCAAAAAGGTTCTTCGGCTGTCCCCATAGGAGAACCCTTTTTGGTTCCAGGTAGAACCCATTTTGGCTCCAGGTAGAACCCTTTTGGGTTCCATGTAGAACCCTCACTGGAAAGGGTTCTACATGGAACCCAAATGGGTTCTTCAAAGGGTTCTCCTATGGGCACCTTTTTTTCTAAGAGTGTAGAGCCACAATCTCTGTGTTGAAATGATAATTAAACAAAGTGAGAGATCTTACTTGTAGTTATCTGCTAAAATGTTTGAAGCTGACATAGTCATTGGGGAGTAGATAGAGACTTTACACTCTTAACAGGCATAAAATAGGCCTTTCCCACCTCTGAAATCAAGGGAAAAAGGGTATTTCTCTCATCACCAGCAGGGTGCTATCATTTTCTATGTAGTCTGGTGCGTCTAATCTCTCTTCTTTCTTCGCCAGTGTAATGCCCAATGTTGCGTTTTGGGCATTCCGGTTCTCTAATCCACCTAATAGCTGAGGAAGGGAAGGCATTGGATGCTTCAGTGGTGGCATTGGGGGGAGGGGGGTACAGCCTTCAAAGTTCGAGGCCTGAAGCCAAAAAGATACTCTGAGTGGAGGAGAATATGTCCATTGGTGTGTAAATGAGGGAGATGCAGGTTTGAAAGGTTAGGAGCTGTCCAGGATGCCGGTTACACCAGTGCTAAAGAGCAGATGACCCTTATTCACTGGACTGGGCTTTCATGTCGTTGCTCCATGATCACTGGGGAATTGTTCTTTTGGAATGCTTTTTTTTCTCCCAGTGGCACGTATATGAGCCTGCTGCCTATTCTTTTAAAGGGCCAGTGGAGCTGCTCTTTAGGGACCCTGTTCCCGGGTGACACCACCCCCCAGGCCATATTTTTTTGCTGTGCTTCTTTTGCACAAAAGAATGTGCCTTTTTTTCCCTCCCTTGCATTCCCTTTCACAGGGAAACCTGAGGTTTTACGTGGCACTTAAGACAGAAAATGGCCCCTCCATGCACTCGTCCAAGAATATTGTGATTGTCTCTAATTCGAATTGTACATGGAAAAGTTAAGTCCTGATACATGTCAAATTGGGCAGGATTGTTGTGAAATGATTTAGTTGTGAAATTGTTCAAATGATTTACCACTGTGAGGTTCCTGAAGAGCCCACCGGTTGGAATACTATTCTTTAGGAGCACATCTCCTGTCTGATATGATCCTGACAATCCACTGACAAGTAGATGTTGAGAGACAACAATGTGTCTGTCCTGGTTCAGTTCCCTAAGCTGAATTCTACTGAAGACCTCTAAAACAAACAGACACCATTGATAACATTTTTGCTTTCCAGATAGGCCTAGATTTATATGTAAAAAAGAAAAAGTTACTATTTTTTTATTTTTGGGCCTTTACAAGCACTTTTGAAATTACTATCAGGGTAATCTCTTGTGGACAGATCTACGTAAACATAACCGATACCGTAGAATCTGTGGGGAAGGAATGGGAATCATTCCGGTTCCGCTCCTCGTTCTAGCATCTCTTGATCCCTTCTCTTAACATGTATGGACCCAAAACTTAATCGAGCAGCTGACCAATTACTTTAATTCTGGGTTAACCGAGATTACTATCAGGACAATTGAGTGCAATACAACATCAATCTTTTTTTGTTTTGGAAGATGCCACACAGACTTGTAGATGCTATACCAATAAAATACAGAGTTAATGAGCCTAGATTTGCATGAGGTCCATGAAAACAGTGACTGCCTTAAAGCCACTAAAACTACTCTGACCCTCTCACATGCTATACAGCCAGTTTCAGCCCGGTATTACAGTGGCCTGTGTCCTTACTGTGATTTTTACAGGATGCTGTGTGTTTGTAGTTTTATTAATTGAGAGGGTTTTCTGTTTTATATTATGAACTTAAGAGGTGATAAAGGCTGCCAGCGGAGTTTACAGGCTTGTTTTAAAGGGACACTTAGACCTGCTTGACGGTCTATCTGGAAGCTCATAAAATTTGCACGTACCTGAGAAATGCTCAGTGGTAGAAAACAAAGGTGGCAGTGGGGGTTGTCGAGAATCACACACACACACACACACACACAAATGTGAATTTGCCGTTCCCTCATACCACAGCCTTTCCCTGAGTGTCTAAATGGCCTAACTTTATTGCATGGCCAGCCAGTGAGGCAGAGGCTAGTGGTCTCCTCACTATGATTTTCTGCTCTGCTACTCTGAAGAATTCATGAAAAGCTTTTCACTCTGGCCTTCTTTGTCCGCCTTGCCCCAAACTGCCCCCTGACTAAAATGAGTTATTTGGGGGGCATTTGTTTGTCCAGAGATCAATGGTTAGGACAGCTGGGCCTATTCACCGCTGGAAGGGTAATTATGAGAATGGCACTGCAGAGTTTGATTAAACTTTTTTAATTTGATTATCCTAACTTCAATTATGCTTTTTCAATCAACTATTTTTAAGTTGAGAAAGTGACTTTTTGTAAATGATATGACTTTCCGACATGGCCTATTTGTTTTAACATACAGTGTATCCTTAGGTCTTAAGATGCTTTTTATTTATGTTACTGTGCCCTAGGTGGGGTTTATGACGCCCCTGTTTGCATTGAAAAAACACTCCTCATTGAATGCTGTGAAAAGATTTCCGAGTGAGCGTTACTATGGCTCAGGGAGCTTTTCATGTGTTGCATCCTTCACCAGGAAGATTGATAGTGCAACATGTGGGGACCTTTTGCACCTTCTGCCCAGAGGCTCTTCTCACCTCTGGCCTTAAAAGATATCCCTCATTATCAGTCATGCTGCCAAGTCCTTTCTGACTCTGGCCTTTAGAAAGACAGTGGCATTATTTAACAAAAAATAACAACAAATTGAGTTCATTGTTTTATGTTATAAATGTGGGAAGACCATCCCTAACACCATCTTAGGCTAGTTCTGTTTTAAGATCTGGTTTCTACAATTTGAAAATCCCTTTGTCCTCGGAGCAGATGCTCCCACTTTGAAGCCGGGACTTTTTTTTACCTGGTTACAGTGTTGAGTCAGAGAGAATGATTTAAGGCGACCATTACAGGCAGGAAATGGAGGGTTTGAGAAACATTAAATGTCAGTTGCCCTGAGGGAAACGATGAGAGGGGATTGTGTCTTGATCAACGGCCATGTGACTTGGTAGCTAACCACATGAGTGCTGTCAATAGGCCTCCACAGATTGATGGGGTTCTCCGTAGAGACATGGTCTCATGTGTATGATCCCTCCAGGCCTCCTATACCATGTTTCCAGAGGTTCACATGGTGTTATGCAATACACATACATTGTAAAACCATATCCGTGTCCTTGCCCATATCCTTATCCATCGGTTCCGATGCAAGGTCTTACCGTGAGAGTGCTGGGATGTTTTTAGTTGATTCGAAAATTATGTTTTTTACGAGGTTACCAAACCAGTGGAGAGAATATATCTCGCTCATTGATGTCATAAGAGAGGATAGATAAGGATAGATAAATGTTTTTGCTGGTGACCATCTTTACCTGTCATTTTACTGGTGACCAGCCTTCGCTGTGTTTTTGCTGGTGACCAGTCTTAGCTGTGTTTTGGACACACAGATCAGCTTGACCAGCTAAAACCAGCTTAGTCACCAGTATACCAGCAACACCAGCATAAGCTGGTATTTGTCCAAAACACAGTGAAGGCTGGTCACCAGTGTCCAAAACATAGCGAAGGCTGATCACCAGCAAAACCAGCTAGACCATGCTGGCCAACCAGCTAGACCATGCTGGTCAAACCAGCTTGACCAGCATAGACCAGCATGGACCAGCAAATACCAGCATGGACCAGCTTGAAATGTATGCTGGTCTATGCAGTTTTTTTCCAACAGGGATTTGGGACCATTTTTGACTACCCCCATAAATGACAAGCATGTAGTGCAAAGACACTTTGCCTCTGGAGTAAGCATACATAATACAGGTTTTAAAAAACGGAGTACATGGTTGAAAAGATTCCTAATGCTGAACAGTTTACTAACTTCATATTGTGGTCCACAATAGAGCACCCAAATGACTATTCCACAGCATACTTCGTGACTCCAACAAAATGGTTGTTTGACCCCACCAGCTCTCTCCTTGTGTGACCACAACCCCAGTGTTTATTTTGGTTGCTAAGGAATGTATTAGACCTACAGAGGCTCTGCAGCATTAGGGTCACAATAAAGGAAAAGCAAACCTAAAGGCACAGTAATGGATTGACGTGAATGTTTGAAATAATTCTTTAAGAGGAATAAGTCTCTGAGCATGGCTTATTTTTTTCCCTCATCTGCATCTGTGGGACATGAATGGTTTCCATGGTTTCCTTGGACCGAAGTTCCAGAGGTCCAAGGTTTCTTTAGATTGCCCAATAGATGTTAGGTACTGAGAGTACTCACAATTTAAATCCTCCCTGCAATAATGCTAGACATTCCTTCTCATTTATCAATTACTTCAACAGTCCCCTATCAGTGTCCACCCAATCAGTGTCTAGCCAAAAAATGTGTTATGCTTTCAAGATTTAGTCCATTGGCACCATCTCCTATTGGATTTTGAGCACAAAGCCTTATTTTGTGGTGACTTGTTTTCATTTTAGAGAAACAAAGCATGACACGATAATTAAGTAGAAGACTGTACTGATTTGAAAATGGACTGTTTAAAACCAGCACTCTGATGAAGAGATCAGACACAATGAAAGCACTGTCTCTGGTGGGTGAAGGGCTGATGTTGAATGATTGGAGAACTTTGACACCAGATAAGAGATGGGAGGAGGGGGCAAGTGTCCCTCTCCTAACCCCACGCCCCCACTGCCCAGGGGACTTCGAGGTCACAGTGCTCATGGGGTATGTGCTTTGTTTGGCCTGGGCCAATGACCACTGGGCCCTCCAGCAGCCTGCTGCCCGGCCCAGCCCAGCCCAACTCGCCCGGCCAATGATTGATTTGTGGGGCTTTTCAGCATTGCATTCTTCCCCTCAGTTGCCAGGCTGAGCATTCTTTTTCAGGAGCCCTTATTATTTATTAAAGGGGGAGAAGACAAACGTGGTGTTGGGTCATTGAACATTATGAAGGAGCTCATCACTCAAGAGTTTCTTGGGTTCTGTTCCATTGGAGGCATTCAATTTGAAACTCAAGAAATAGCCTCCTTTAAAGCAACACAAGGAAACAAAGCAAATGATCGATTTGACAACAAGCTCCTTTTGTTTCCACTCAGAGTTAAGGTTACGAGGGAGAGAGACTAGCCTGAGCTATTCTTGATACATAGAACTCATTCTGATGTGTGATGCATTCCAATGTACAGAAAAAGACCCAAGCACTACATGACTTAGTCCCACTTAAAATAGAGACAGATCTGGGTGTCCCTCTTATCTTAATGGATAGTTTCTGGTATTTTCTGGGATCCTACTTTTGACCTTTCATAAAATGTGGGCAGCAACCCAAGGCAGTGACCATTTACATGAAACCTCAACAGTTTGATATTTACTGCTTGCTTCCTAAACTGTTTCCTCTCATTCCCAGCATTAGGCCATTCATGGTTCATTTGCATATGAAGTCATGAAAGGAGCGGTCCTCCCCACCCACTCACCCTCCCATGCTGAACCCTTCACTGCCCACTCTGTCCACAGCCCACGACACAGATCTGCTGTCCCTCATTTGAATTAATAGCATGAATCAATATCACTATACCAAACATTTGTCACATCATAGTAATTATCACTGAATGAAATGTTTCTGGAAATTGGTTGAAATTAAATGTTATGACTCTTGATGAGCCCTCTGACAGGTCTGATGACGTTGAACGCTTAAGTGGTTAAATGTTCTGTTGGGTTCAGTACGGAACTGTTCAGAACTGTCAGTATTAGGACCTTGAGGTCGAGGCCAAGGATTTTTGTTGAAGTCATAAATAGATGTCTCCTTCTTACTCTCTCTTGCAATGCTATTCAAAGAAAGCATCCTTCAGTCCTACTGTTTAACACTTGCAGTAATGTTATTTGTCCTGTCACTTATGACTCATAAGGGTGGGAGTTTTAAATACTCCCCTATACTTTAATTGATAACTGTAGATCTCCTTGTGGACATACTGCCTGCTAGTGTTATGAGTAGGGTCAAGAGTGTTTCCTGACCACATGACCTGACCAGGACCAACTTCCAGTCCCTACCCATTCATGCGTAGTGAAGCTGCAGGCCTGGCCCAGGTCATCTGCAGGATTAGGGCCAGTGTTTCCACTCAATTGCTCTGCAGATCGCCTTAGACAAAGCTGCCAGAGCAGATCCCTGACCAGCCACTCTGCATCTGGCCTCAGTGCTCATCCACCTTGTTCCAATCAGGAGCGAGGAGAAGCCACACACGTAGCCAGGGCCTTGGAGTGGATAGAACATCTTCAGTGCTGTCTCCTGCTTGACCACTTACTGCGTTTGTCTACCACTGGGAACCAAGAGGCCTGGAGGAAATTAGTGCTGCAGAGCAGAGCGCAGCAGCAGCCATTGACCTGTTGACAGACGCCCTGGCTAAACTCTGAGCTCCTCTGTCCCCTAAAAAAAAACAAAAAAACATGGAATGTTTCTGAGTTACAGCTTAGAGAACAACAAAGTCAACCCCTGACCACAGAGGGATATATCTGAATGCACACATATACTGACTCTGCACACTATAAACATTGCTTTACTATGAAGATATTAATAATAATATGCCATTTAGCAGACGCTTTTATCCAAAGCGACTTACAGTCATGTGTGCATACATTTTTACGTATGGGTGGTCCCGGGGATCGAACCCACTACCCTGGCGTTACAAGCGCCATGCTCTACCAATTGAGCTACAGAGGACCACCCATATGTATATTCTTTGCTTTTTATTATTAGTGGATTATTAATGCTCATTGGGCATGCTCAGTGGCTGTGTTGAACATTTCCATAACAATAACTCTCCATACAGCACGTATAGAACACATTCTTTCCACCACATTTTGAGAATTGTTTTAACCAACATAGTAGTGAGGTAGAATTTGTGCCTGCAGTGTGATCGTTCAAGCTATAGTAATTAGAAGAGAGCATACAACTACTCTGAATATTGGATTCCCATATGTTAAAGAGCATGTCCTCAGGGTGGGGTGGGAAGGGGGGGTTTGGGTTGATAACCCTGCACTTTGGCAGGACGTTTAGCTGGAGTGACCAGGGGGAAGGGGGACAGAGCTGGCCCCTGAAGTTTCTAAGGGAACCTTTGTCCGGGCTTGACCCGTCCACTGACCTGATGTTTGCTGAGCTTTTGGCTTCAGCAGGCCCGTCTGCCACTGGAAGACAAAGAGAATGGCCAGCTGGGAGGCAGAGCACGGAATAATTCTATAGTTTAGTTCGGACATTGGTGAAAGAGTGTTCAGTGGTCACTCACTGATTTTTTTGTTGCTGTCAAACTTGTTTCTGTTTCTTAGGATAAGGGTGCAAAGTCTGCATGCCGCAAATCCTTAGACAAGGTTTTAAATGGTCATTACTAATAATGGAACGCCCTTCATTATGTTTTGTGTTAGAGATTTGATTTATTGTGAATCACCACTTTGTTCATGATCAATAGTAACAGATTTGTTTTTGCAACTCCGCACCAGCCCCAACATCTCCCATCTGCACAGTAACTAAATGAAGAAAAGCATTATGCAAAGCATTGTTCTACTGTGCCAGTATGGAATGGCAGTGGACAGGGTTGAAGAGAAAGAGGATGTTAGCGGGGGCATTTCGTATCTGTAGGAAGGCAGTTTTAGGAGGCTCTGAGTGATTGATTGGCAGTTTGCCAGCAGGGGAGCATTAGCGTTGCAGCAGTGCTGGGGTGGCCTTGCAGGGCTCTGCCTGGATGGGCGGTGTGCCGGCCAGGATTTGTGGAGGTTGGAGGTCAGAGGTGGGGTCACTGCAAGGGGCAGATGGCCAGATCCTTTTTTTGTGCTGCTTGGAGCAGGCATTCACCCCCTCATTAGAAACAAACTGGGCAAAACATCCGGGTAAACAATAAATTATTCAACCGATCGATTATGCTTTGACATTTTAAGCTAGGTGGGTTTGATAGTTATATATTCTCTATGTGGTTGAATTAAATCATTAAGTAACAGAAACAAATTGTGAAAGGGGGAGAATAGTCAAGTCACCTTTTCATTCATGGAGGCCTTGCTCAATAACTGGACACCCAAAGCTCCAGGGGGGAGGTGCATATGATGAGCATTTGCTGGCAATGCAGAGCATTTGATTCTTAATGTGTTTCAAAGGTCATCTGGAAGGTGACTGGAAGAGGTAAATGGGCAGACAGAGGTAGTTGAAGGTATAATCTAGTCCTTGTAGTGTGAGCCTCAGCTCATCTGCTTTAATATTTCATTTAGGAGCATTAGGTGCCGCCTCTGGCAACCATCATCACTCAAAGGAGACGGTCAATCGCATATTTTGAGCAGCCACGGCAGTGACCACAGCTCGACAAGCCCTAGCAGAATAGATTTTAGACCGAGACTTAGTAGTTAATCAATAATCAATAAGGATCTCTCTGTTTGTCAATCCAGCATTTTTTGACTATTCAGAGAGACAGAGTATCTGGGAAGCTCATCCTCTCATGGCCCCAGGCCCCGGGCTACTGGGACGGATGCCTCCATGTTGCATTGCTGCTGTTGTGCAACACTTAGGAATGTGTTTGATGTTGATTAGAGGTTCCACATTTTGTTGCTCCGTGGGAGCGTGTTGCTGAGGGATGGGCCCCTGTATCCGTTCAATGACGCTCCCAATCCAATGCCTGCCTGCACTTCTCTCCACAGCAAATATTCCTCTGCAGAGGACTGCACTGGCCCTGATGCACAAGAGGCCTTACAGCTCACAACTAATTCAATTAAAAATGCCCAAAGCAAAGTGGCAAGGGGCTCAGTGAAAAGATAACTTTACACAAAGAAATGGGACTCTACAGCAACTGGTTGCACACAACCATTTGGAAGTCTAATACTAGAAGTAAAGTGCTCTGCAAATAAAAGTTCAAGGCAAAGTGGCGCAACTCTCTAAAACTGGTCAGGGTAGAGAATGTAGGTCATGGATCCCAAATTAATTGGGTTCCTTTTGGCTTTGCCCATGAACGGTGCATGCCCTGCCCCTGGCCAGTGAAAAAAACTAGGAGGTCTTTACCTTGACATGTCAGAGGGTCAGCTGCGTTTAGGAGGGACAGAATTCCCCTTGCCGCCATCCTAAAGACGACACAGAGTGGCAGTTAGGGCTTTCCCGCTGTTCAGCACCACAACACCTGGAAACCCAGGTTACGTCCAGCTATCCATCATGGCCGTTATAGAGGCCAGGACACAATCCAGTGTTTTTATGACGGGGTGGAGTTTACCTTTAGGCAAGGTTTCTCGAGAGCAGTGCTTGAGATTTACGTTGCTTTTAAGTAGTACTCTGAGAAAGGTTTGCTAAGGATACAGCTAGAAGCACACCACCTGTGCTGTGTGCTGATTGTCTGTTAAATTTGTTGAGTGGTAATAGTTCATGTTCAATTATTCAGACAATGACTAAAGGTGCAAGATTGGGGTCCTCTCTGATGTCAGTGGCAACAGCTGTTCAATCAGAAACTATGAACCTTGCACCTAGTGAGGATTTGCCTCGCTTTAAATCTGAGCTCCTTATAATCTTTGCACGGCTCCTCTTATGTTTTCTTCATCTGTTGGCTCTTCCCCCTCTCTCTTCTCCCCTGGCAAGCCTGCTGTGTTTGATGTGCGTTCAGGTTTTTTTGTGTGCAGAATGTAGAGAAGAGGGGTAATTTCTGTGATAAAGTTAGTGGGGGAGCCTCCGAAGGTAAACACTGGGGAGAGCATCTCATTGTTACTCTGGGCTAGCGAGATAACTGAGGCCAAGGAGGGGTGGAGAGTCCTAATCTCAGTTTGTTACCTGTATAAAAGACACCTGTCCACAGAAGCAATCAATCAATCAGATTCCAAACTCTCCACCATGGCCAAGACCAAAGAGCTCTCCAAGGATGTCAGGGACAAGATTGTAGACCTACACAAGACTGGAATGGGCTACAAGACCATCGCCAAGCAGCTTGGTGAGAAGGTGACAACAGTTGGTGCGATTATTCGCAAATGGAAGAAACACAAAAGAACTGTCAATCTCCCTCGGCCTGGGGCTCCATACAAGATCTCACCTCGTGGAGTTGCAATGATCATGAGAACGGTGAGGAATCAGCCCAGAACTACACGGGAGGATCTTGTCAATGATCTCAAGGCAGCTGGGTCCATAGTCACCAAGATAACAATTGGTAACACACTACGCTGTGAAGGACTGAAATCCTGCAGCGGCCGCAAGGTCCCCCTGCTCAAGAAAGCACATATACAGGGCCGTCTGAAGTTTGCCAATGAACATCTGAATGATTCAGAGGAGAACTGCGTGAAAGTGTTGTGGTCAGATGTGACCAAAATGGAGCTCTTTGGCATCAACTCAACTCGCCGTGTTTGGAGGAGGAGGAATGCTGCCTATGACCCCAAGAACACCATCCCCACCGTCAAACATGGAGGTGGAAACATTATGCTTTGGGGGTGTTTTTCTGCTAAGGGGACAGGACAACTTCACCGCATCAAAGGGACGATGGATGGGGCCATGTACCGTCAAATCTTGGGTGAGAACCTCCTTCCCTCAGCCAGGGCATTGAAAATGGGTCATGGATGGGTATTCCAGCATGACAATGACCCAAAACACACGATCAAGGCAACAAAGGAGTGGCTCAAGAAGAAGCACATTAAGGTCCTGGAGTGGCCTAGCCAGTCTCCAGACCTTAATCCCATAGAAAATCTGTGGAGGGAGCTGAAGGTTCGATTTGCCAAACGTCAGCCTCGAAACCTTAATGACTTGGAGAAGATCTGCAAAGAGGAGTGGGACAAAATCCCTCCTGAGATGTGTGCAAACCTGGTGGCCAACTACAAGAAACGTCGGACCTCTGTGATTGCCAACAAGGGTTTTGCCACCAAGTACTAAGTCATGTCTTGCAGAGGGGTCAAATACTTATTTCCCTCATTAAAATGCAAATCAATTTATAACATTTTTGACATGCGTTTTTCTGGATTTTGTTGTTGTTATTCTGTCCCTCACAGTTCAAATAAACCTACCATTAAAATTATAGACTGATCATTTCTTTGTCAGTGGGCAAACGTACAAAATCAGCAGGGGATCAAATACTTTTTTCCCTCACTGTAACTGAGCCAAGGGAGGGGGGGGGGAGTTGGATAGAGAGAGAGAGAGCCCTTAAATTGAAATTTAATTGAGAGAGAGAGCCCAGGAGAGATACTCTGATGCCCCTCTCCCCCCCTCAACGCCTTCATCTGGGTGCTGACTCCTCGCCCCTACAGCACAAACAGCATTGGATGTGTGCAGAGAGGTCAAAGAGCACTGCAGTCTGTTTGTTTACCCATTTCTTAAGTGGTGTGCATTGCATTCTGAAAACATGCAGCTGTTTTTAATCTGAAAACACATGTCACGTGTATCTTTGAATTATGTGATTCCTTTTTCTCTGAGTAATAAATGAGTGAAGAGGGTTTTGTGGTACTTGTTTTGGGTATTTCTGATGTAGTCTTCTTTATATAGTAATTCACTGATGTAGCCTAGTCCGTTGGTTGCACTGGGTCCCAGTAATGCCAGGAGTGGTTTGATTTGTTTATGTTAATTATTGTCATGTGAATTTCTATCTCTAATTCAACCTAAGCTTGAATCATTACCAGAGGTTGTAAGGCTCTGGTTTTAATCATCAATGATTCAAGGTCCAAAATTCACAAGTATTTATCTGTATATTTATTCATGGAGAGCTCTGGCGCCAAAGACACAAACATACGATTTTATACCTCCTGAACTTGACTCCTCCCACCTTTAGGTGACTTTTCTAAACAGTTTCCGCCTTCCCCTTCACCCTTGAATGTTTAGTACCGCCCCCTCTGTTAGTGGGTTGACACTACATGATAATTCCTAACATTTATACTGTATTTGGGGTGAAATCCTTTAGTCATTATTCTTAAAATCCAAATTAATCTAACAATTATGTTGATGTTATCCAGCCCTGGAGCTTTTTGGTAAAGATTTTATTTATCTCAGTCATTCCAAAAATTGGATTTAAATTGAGGTCTGTATCAAGAGCAGCAGCACCATCATTTATTGTAAAGTAACTGTCCAGTGTTTCCAGATTTCTATGAAATATGACGTATTATTAATTACAATATGAGTTAAATAGTTTTCCTTTCAAAAAATGTGTTAAAAAGCAGCTTTTCTGTGTTGGAATGGTGTGGGCGTGGGACACACACTTTTCACGCCACTTCGATACAAAATGATTTTCGTAGCAGGTTTGGAGAGCATTTTTGCTAACCCTAACCTTAACCCTTTTCCTAACCTTAACCTCAGTCTCTTTATCTGCTACGTTAATTATCCTAATCTGCTGCGTAAATGCTCCTAACCTGCTATGAAAAAGTCACTTTGGTATCGAAGTGGCATGAAAAGAGTGTTTCCCGTGTGGGCGTACCCCAACAACAGAGTAGACAGCTGATTGGCCATGGGATTGGCCATCCTCCATGAGGAAATAGAAAGCATTTTTGAAACGGTCTGTTTGAGATACAAATTTGATGTGGGTTTTTTAAAGTGTTTTTTCTCCAATTTATGCTTGGGCCACAAATACGAGTATAGGATCGTGAGTCAACACCATTATTCGGTTATGAGTTAACATAATATTAACTTTTAAAAGTGATATTTTCACTGGACAGTAACTTTAACAAACTATTGACCTGAGGCTTCATTAGTTGAGACGGGGGATGGGAGTGGATAGCAGTGGATGACCTTAATGACTTTTGGGGGTTTTATTGCTTAGTGACTGAAAAGGGGGGGAAACATAATGTTCTAGATACTTTTTTATTAATCTTTTGAAACGATGAACAATCTATTCTAGACATTGAACTACTTGCAACATCATTCTTAACGGTGGATAAGGTTTAGGTGAAATCAGTAATGGGACACACGCTGTGTACATTAGGTTTCTCATGGAGTTTAGTTTCCATACAGTTCAGGTGGTGTCTAACAACCAATCAGTTTCAGGGAAACCCAATCCAAGCAGGATGTTGCCGGACCTCTCCACCAATCATCACCGTCCGGCTGCACTCAGCAGGGCAACACTTTTAGATATATCTGTCATCAGGGGCCCTCTTTATCTCAGGGGGATTAAAGTATGGAATCAGTGGCAAATAATTTGTTGGTAAAACACTTGACTTAAAGGCAACTGTTATAATGATGTATTAATTGCTATAAGCATATGAGCCTTATAATATATATTGTCTTTCTAGGAATAGACCTACAGGTAGGCCTAATTAGGAATTAGATGCTGTGAAGAGGTAGCACTATTCCCAAAAGGACTGTGTGTCTGTGAGGGTTGGTTACATGTGATGTTGTCCTTTAATGCTACTGTTAGCATAGAGCAGTCCGTTTAGGTTCCCACTGGCTGGCCATTCATCTGGCCTGTCAAAGGCCTCACTTACAGTATCATCTTTCACTGACGGATCTTCCCTAACTCTGCTGCTCCATGAGGGGGAAATGTATCAATGATCTCAAACAAAATGGATCAAGCTTCCCCTCCTCCTCCACATGGCCTCATCACCATCTGTGGGCTTAATTATTAATTGTTAGATATTACTTGTTAGATATTACTGCACTGTTGGAGCTAGAAGCACAAGCATTTCGCTACACCCGCAATAACATCTGCTAAACATGTGAATGTGACCAATAAAATTTGATTTGATTTATTTGATTTGATTTGATTGTTGAAATATAAAGAGTTTTACAGCAAGCGTATGAAGTATTTTATTTAAGTTGAAGTATTAGTAGTAGTCATTAGGTGGGCCACTAAAAGTTTGTGTGCACGGCACACATTTGACTGATTGACCTCTGCTCATGTGCGTAGATGTGCATTGTAGAGGAGCTAATTAATAAGATGGGCCTAGCAGAGATTTCATCTGCTCTCTGATCTCCTCAGGGTGTATTGTGCTCCAGCCAGGATGAGCTGACAGGTACATGTAACATGCTGGTTTGTTTAGGTTAGTTAGGGCCTCGGGAACCCCGTCTGATATCCGATGTCTGGTGCTTGTATAACACCTCATCTGAGGGAGAACTGGAGCTTATGCATTTTCAAAGAAAAGGTGAGAGACAGGGCAAGGTTTTGTAAGGGGGAAAAAACAACAGCTGATTTCAATAGTGGACTAACCTACATCTCAGGGCAAAGGGGCTTCCTGTTACTTTGTCTTGATTACATTTACATTTTAGTCATTTAGCAGACACTCTTATCCAGAGCGACTTACAGTTAGTGAGTGCATACATTTTTTTTCTTCCATACTGATGGCAATGCATCAACACATGAACTCTGTCTAGGCTGTAAGGAGAGGAGGTCAGGGAGATAATTTGTCTTGGAGGGGTAGGGTTGGATGGATTGTGGGGCTCTTCAGATCTTGCTTCAACAGCCCTTATGATTATTCTTGGCAAATGTTCAATCTCAGTGCTAATGTACAGCATTTAGGTTGATTTGAATAGGATAGAGCTTTCTTGTTGGGACATGGCAGCTCCTTGGCAAGTAGTTTCATGGACAATTATATGAATGAAGGGGAGGGCAGTTGGGGTAGTGATCATTTCGGTATTATTGTGCACATAGATTTCCCTATTTTCAATGAAAATTCAAAGAATGAGGTTCAGCTTCACAGCACTGCATTCTCACTATCAGACAGAGACTGAAGTGGGATGGCCTTTGCTGAGGATAGGCTTTAGTGAGATGGTAACCTGAAAGTGAAGTAATTTATATTTATAAGATATGCCTGGTAGCTCAATATATTCCCTTATTTCCATAAATGTAATTGATTTCCATTTTAACTGAATAGTGCCCTTAAGTCCTAAGATACAGAGGCTTAGTTTGACTGATATAAATACATTTAACCTTATCCACCAAGATGAGCTGCCGAGCAAGAGAGGATAGTGGGCCATCAACATACATTTTTGTGATGATTGGTCTTATAGATCCAAATGAGGGAAAATACAATATTAGAAACACATAATTTCACAGTTATTGCTATCTAATGGCTGCATTGCTAGTAATCATCTCTTTGGAAACATGTACTGTACATTAGAGAATGTGTCTACTCTTGTAGTACACAGTGTCTCACCGTTCCTTGTTTTGTTCTGTAGGTATCTCCCCCTTTATAAATCAGCCAACATCCATTGTGGTGACAGAAGGATCAGTCGCCCGTTTCACCTGCAAAGTCACTGCAAGCCCTCCTCCCATCATCACCTGGGAGTTCAATCGGGTCACGTTACCCCTGGCAACTAAAAGGTATGCATTCTCATTATTTAATTATCATGCCATGTCATTAACTTTATCTTTAGAGGGTGTTTGAGAGTATTGTAGAAGTGTATTACGATTTTAAACTGTACATGTCAGAGGGATAGAAATATCAGAGCTGTGTGCTCATCCACTAATATCTATGATGTCAATTGTATTGATTGTCTTTGTGTTCTTGTCTCTCCCAGAATCACAGTCTTGCCCAGCGGCGTTTTGCAGATCCACGGGGTGGAAAAAGGGGATGCTGGGAACTATCGTTGTGTGGCAACCAACATTGCCAACCGTCGCCGGAGTACAGAGGCAACCCTCACTGTCACTCCAGGTGGGAGATAGTGGAGAATTAGCACTCTTTTCAGATTTAAACATAATATATTCACAAGCATTGCATCAAACATTATAAGCCTAATAAAAGCCAAGTTATATTTATGTTGAGTAGTGAAGTGGGCACCCTGGTAAATCTTGTCTCCCCTCCACAGCTCCAAGCCCCAAACTGCCTCAGAGGCCTCGTATCATCGCCGGGCCCCAGAATGCCACTGTGTCCCTGCACCAAAGTGCCATCCTGGAATGCATGGCTACAGGGAACCCCCGACCCCTCATATCCTGGAGCCGAGCCGACAGCAAGTCCATCGATGTGTTCAACACCAAGGTGCTGGGCAATGGCAACCTCATCATCTCTGACATCAAACCGAAACACGGAGGAGTGTACATGTGCAGAGCCACTACCCCTGGCACGCGCAACTATACAATCGCCACAGCCAACATCACTGTGCTAGGTAAACACGTTAGTCGTCTGTGTAGAGCTGCTAAAAGTGTCAGTTGTTATTACAGACATCATTGTTGCTGTTTGTTACATCTATGATGTTTCCCTTATCCAGCGCCTCCGTCCTTGGTGGAGTGGCCGGAGAGCCTGACCCGTCCGCGTGCGGGCACGGCCCGCTTTGTGTGCCAGGCTGAGGGAGTTCCCCTGCCCCACATCACCTGGCTGAAGAATGGAGAGAAGGTCCACTCCAACGGACGCATCAAGATGTACAACAGGTCTGAGCTCTAACACCAGATCTACTCTAGCTAATATCTCTCTGCTCCTGTTTGTCTCCCTCGCTGTTGTTTATTTATATGATCATCCCATTGTTTTAGAAATCCCTGCCTCCTAACCACCAACCATATTGGATGTTCTGCTGTATGTTAATTGAAACAGAATCCCTAATTCCTTTACCCTACAGATAGTTGTCTTGGTTGACTGGAAACTCAGTCCCAATGAAAAATTCATCAGCCCTTCCCCACAGTAGAAAGGAAGCTGAATAATTTACAAACGTGCTAATGGCATTTCAGTGGATTTCCCACTAATTTGCTTCCTCTGCTCTTACCACTGCCTTGGCTTGTTAACGGTTTCTGATTTGAAAGGGAATGATAGAGCTGGTAAGCGACGGGTTAAGTATTGGTAGGAGAAGCTGGAGGAGGGACAGAAGTCTAATATGGCCATCTGTGTGTTTTGTCCCACAGTAAACTGGTGATCAACCAGATCATCCCTGAGGATGATGCCATCTACCAGTGCCAGGTGGAGAATGAGCAGGGCTCTGTGCTGTCCATGGCCCGGCTCATAGTGGTGATGTCAGAGGACCGGCCCAGCGCGCCCAGGGACATCCGGGCTAACACTGTATCTAGCTCCGCCATCTTGCTGGCCTGGGAAAGGCCGCTGTACAACTCAGACAAAGTCATCGCCTACTCTGTGCACTACATGAAGGCTGAAGGTGAGATATGATGGCCAGCTCAGGGGGAGCCTCTTCTATGTCTTGTACCTTTTCAAACAGAAACTATTTTTGATGTTGGCAGGAAATAGTTAATGTATTGGGGCATTCCATATGAATGGCCTTTGTAGCCCCAGGAGTTAACAGTTAACACTGTTTAGAGTCCTGAATGCTCCCGCTTCCTTCTTGCCCCCAGAACGGAATGTGGGAGATTGACCATCTGTTGTTAATAGTTGGTTGCTGGGCAGAGGTCAAGGAAAATAATGATTACCGCAGCTTACTCTGTACAAACAGGACTGGCCTTCCATAGGCGATCTCTAGCCCTGTGCATGAGTTTTAAAGGTGCAGCACCCCCTACACTAGATGAGATGCAGGATAGACAGGAACCGTTCATGAGAATACAAGGGCTGCACTGTAGTCACTAAATCCCAGTCATTGACTGCTGGACCTTTATCTTTCCTGGGAACCTGTATTGTTGATGAAGAGGCATCAAGAGTCACATTCAAACAATGTAACAGTTCAGCACAAATGTTATCCAGTTCATTCAGGCACTGTTGTTCGTTGCCGGCTATGGAATTCCATTGTATAGGCCAAATGTACAAAATCCATGCAGCAAAAGAAACACCTGCTAGGCTATGTAAGGATAAGGACAATAACGGAAGCAAGTTAGAAAATCTGCTCCTTTCTCCTTAAATAACTGCCGTCTGTCAAGGATTTGGTGCACTTGATTAAGATTACGTGACACATTCTGTCCGGTCCCAGAGAATGACTGGCCATTGAGATTGACAGGAGTGGTAGCACCAGAGCATTCTGCACCTGAGGTCTCAGACACAGAGCATTGGCACTAAATGGAGGTTCTAATGAAAGGAGGAACTAATTAGTCTGTGTGTTGGAGTGTGCTAATCCAACAGAGGAGATTCTGTCAAGGCACTGGGACAGTGTGAGCTGGACTGGGAGGGAGGCTTTGTGTGTCTTTTCAAGGAGGTTTGCTGGGCCATTCAGGCCCCTGGACAAGGCCTTTTCTGTTTACTCTCAAGGATCTTGTTTTCCAGGTCAGAAATCAGGCCGAACGATTCAATACGTCCTGGCTACAAGGGAGTCTTTTGTGGGACCTTCCTAATCTGTGCTAATTAAACTGCTATTAGGCGTAGCCAGCAATGTGGGAAAATTGAATGCTGGAATTTGGCTTGAGCAATGTTGATGAAATTGTCTATAAAAGGGGAAGGAACCAGTTTGATTGAGTTGACACTTTTTTTTATATTGTCCATACTGAATGGACCAGAAGCCCACTGTTAGAGACAGGTGTACAGCATATCTTTGTAAGAATCAGGCGCCTCAGACAAGGAGGTTCCTAAAGCCAAAGTGATTATGTTCTAATTGCTCTGCATACTGAGAGATATCATTGAATGATGATTATGGGAAGTTATCAAAAGTTGTCTTTGTACTCAGAATGTATGCAAATCTTCATAGGCCCTTTTAGGCCCCTTTCCCCCTTTAGCGCCCTAAAGAGTTTGCATTGAAGGACCAGATCCCCTCTGAACTCCTTGCCTGTACATGCAGCTTACAACAACTAGAACTCTGTGGGTGGTAATTGATTAAATGTGTGCCCTTTTCTTCCCTCAAACCAGGCTTGAACAACGAGGAATATCAGGTTGTCATTGGCAACGACACAACCCGGTACATTATTGATGACCTGGAGTCAGCGCGGAACTACACCTTCTACATCGTGGCCTACATGCCCATGGGAGCCAGCCGCATGTCGGACCATGTATTCCAGCACACCCTGGAGGATGGTGAGGCCTCGTCGCTAGCTCCCACATACACAAACATACAGTCCACAGAGGTAATGTGCAGCCATAACTGTCACCCCATGATGAATAAAAACACCCCCAGATGAATAGTAAAGAGAATGCTTCATATTGATCCTGTAGTGCTACTGTAAGGTCTTCTATCACTCTAATGGAGGACTCAGAGGATGTTTTCCAGTGTGTTTAAACTGTAATGAATAGGCTGTAGAGAGTGGGCAGTATTGTAGGTCCTGTAATGAATCTAGTGCGGCTGACCCCTGGCTGTCTAATTGGGGTCGTCTCTAAGAGGGCCGCCAGAGGAATAGAGGAGTCTAATAAGGAAGGATTAGATGGGGGACCACTCGGCTGGTTAAACATTAGTCAGGCTGATATTTAGAGATCAGGAATGACCCTCTCTTCTATAATCTAACTCCCCACAAGGGCCCTTCACAGTTCACACCACCCCATGAAACGTTTCTGCACTGTGCAACCGTGACCACCACTTATGATCAAGGAAAATTACATTTCTTACATATTCCACAGAAAATAACTGCTCTATTGTCCTTGACTAAGGGAACATCTGTCACATGATTGATACCAGTCTAAATCAGATCACATCTATTTATTGTGTACACTTTCAGACTTACTGAATAGATTTTCCAGTATGACTGAGTGTGATGCACAGTGAGCTGATTTGTGTCTCTAGGTTTATTCATTATAATCTCAGTAACTAGCTGTTACTTTAGCAACCACAACTCTTCCTTTGGTCCCCACCAAAACATGATACAAAACAACCATAAATATAGACAGAAACCACAATACAGAGACAGTAACACAGTAATGAACAAGTTGGTGACTGTATAAGCCTCTACATGACGGCTCTGTCTCCCTCTCCACAGTGCCCCTGCGTGCCCCAGAGCTCAGCCTCACCAGCCGCAGCCCCACAGACATCCAGGTGTCCTGGCAGCCCCTTGCAGCCAAGCTAAGCCGCGGCCGGGTGTCGGCCTACCGCCTGTCCTATCGTACCAGCGCCGACCAGACCGTCACCCAGCTGGAGCTTCCTGGGGAGAAGACCCAGTATCTCCTGGAGGGCCTGCAGCCCGACACCATCTACCTCCTCCGTATCGCTGCAGCCACTAGTGTGGGCTGGGGGGAACAGACAGCCTGGACCTCCCACCGCACCCCTAAGGCATCCAGCGCCAAAGGTACTTACACGTGCTCCTCAGTAGTAGCGATAAGTTATTGGCTGCTCCCTGATGGTCCGATGCTTCAGGCATGCACATTATCAATTATTTTTCTGAAGTTAAACATGTGCTCTGTGTGCCCCATTCTTATGACTAGGTTTCTGCGTGCATATATGATGTTTGTACAGATAGGAGTACAACTGTATGACTTCTAATCAATCAAAGTCAAAAGACATGTAAACAAGAACAAGATAAGTAAGCCAAAACATCTTTGATGAACCGGAATTTCAACCTTAGATTTGTAAAGCTACCAGCCAGCCACATCACCGAAATAAACATGTAAGTCCTTACTTCCTCTACTGACTTATCATGCACACTAAAACCATCATGCCTTGCAGGCGCACAGTGAGAGCACACTTCCCTCTGCACATAGTCAATATAGGAGCAAAGAGGCTGGATTATCTCTAAACCTTTCTTCTTCCTAGTCCTCTGCCTAGTGTGTGAGAGAGAGCCATGAGAAGAGCTTGCTCTAATAATCCTGTTAAGGCATTGCATTTGTTACTCCATGACCTTTGGCCCTCTCTGTCAGTAACATCGGAATGGCTTCAGTCATGGGTCATAAAAGAGAGGGACCCAGGCCTCCGGGTGGGAGGAAGAGTAGTGCTGTTTAGAGCTCCATCTAAGCCTTAGGGGTGGGGGAGGGGACTGCTGCCCCCTCTCTCTCTCTCTGTCCCTTTGGAAACAAACAGGATATTTTCTAGGATTCTCCCAGGATCATGTCGGCTGAATAGGTATTCTGTCAGTAGAACTGAGGACCTGGCTCATCTCTGCTAGTGTGTGTTTGTGCCTGGCTGTGTATCTGTGTGTCAGGCTGGGGCATGGTATGGATGGGCCTCTGGTTGGGGGCTGCAGGCTGGGAGCCTGTTATTTCCATCAGATAAAACCAGTGAGCAGCTGGGTGGAGAGCATTCCTGTTTTCAAGGAAGAAGACAAGCTACAGAGTCAACTTGCTCCCAGCCTGCCACCCTGCATCTCTTACAATATAATACTTTTTGGTGACTTTGCCCCTATTTGTCCAGCAAATTATTTCTGGGAAATGTAAATTAGCATGTTTCTGCCATGTTAAGTGGTTTACTCCTAATAATTTGGGTGTCCCAAACAAATGTGTTCCTGAACAAGTCCTTAATTTGTTCAGAACTAGCTAACCTTTCTTTATAAATAGTTGTAGACTGTCAATAGTAGCAAGGCTATGAATGGTATCTGAATATGAAGCAAATTGACCTTCTTGAACACAATGGTATGGCCTGGCCATTGGGCTTAAGGCAAAGAAGGCCTGATAGGGTAGTGGGGGTTGGGTGTGGGTGGGTTTCATATTCCCCCTTGACTTGGTACTATTTCAGATGAGCTGGTTAAAATAAAGACATCTGAATAAAAAGGAATATTCATGCAGGTTGAGCTCTGTAAATAAGTAGTACACATGGCTCTGCTAAATGACTAAAAAATAAATAAATAAAAAGACAGATTCTGTTTGAACCTTACCTCAGACCTGTACTCAATAAATAAAATAAAATTGTATTGGTATTACACATACACATATTTAGCAGATGTTATTGCGGGTGTAGCGAAATGCTTGTAATAAGAAATAACACACAAAAAAAACAAAATACTACCAAGTTGCTTAGGAGCTAGAAGCAGAGCTGCCATGTCTGTCGGCGCCATCTTCACAAAAATATATAACAAAATACTCTGATGTTTACTGTGACTCTAACCACAGATCTCTCTCTTTTTGTCTCCCCACAGTGACTCTAACCACAGATCTCTCTCTCTTTTTGTATCCCCACAGTGACTCTAACCACAGATCTCTCTCTCTTTTTGTCTCCCCACAGTGACTCTAACCACAGATCTCTCTCTTCTTCGTGTCTCCCCACAGTGACTCTAACCACAGATATCTCTCTTCTTCGTGTCTCCCCACAGTGACTCTAACCACAGATCTCTCTCTTTTTTTGTCTCCCCACAGTGACTCTAACCACAGATCTCTCTCTTCTTCGTGTCTCCCCACAGTGACTCTAACCACAGATCTCTCTCTTCTTCGTGTCTCCCCACATTGACTCTAACCACAGATCTCTCTTCGTGTCTCCCCACAGTGACTCTAACCACAGATCTCTCTCTCTCTTCGTGTCTCCCCACAGTGACTCTAACCACAGATCTCTCTCTTCTTCGTGTCTCCCCACAGTGACTCTAACCACAGATCTCTCTCTTCTTCGTGTCTCCCCACAGTGACTCTAACCAAAGATCTCTCTCTTCTTCGTGTCTCCCCACAGTGACTCTAACCACAGATCTCTCTCTTCTTCGTGTCTCCCCACAGTGACTCTAACCACAGATCTCTCTCTTCTTCGTGTCTCCCCACAGTGACTCTAACCACAGATCTCTCTCTTCTTCGTGTCTCCCCACAGTGACTCTAACCACAGATCTCTCTCTTCTTCGTGTCTCCCCACAGTGACTCTAACCACAGATCTCTCTCTTCTTCGTGTCTCCCCACAGTGCCTCTAACCACAGATCTCTCTCTTCTTCGTGTCTCCCCACAGTGCCTCTGGCCCCTGAGCTACAGTTGGAGCCTCTGAATTGCACCACCATCATAGTGCGCTGGCAGCTAGCACCAGGAAACTCTGTCAGCGTCCAAGGCTACAGGCTGTTCTACCACGAGGAGAGCCAGGCTGAGAGTTCCCCCATCCAGCTGCGTGCCCAGGACAACAGGCACACAATTGGAGGCCTGGGTGAGTAGACCCCACCTAGTACACCCTTCCTATGATGTAATTGTTGCTGATGACATTTGTCTTGATTTTGGATTTCAATTGTAAGATTAAGAATATGTTCTAGTCAATGCATGCTTACACATTGAAAGTGCAAGTCCTCCTTAAACTGGATTCGGATCAAAGATGCTCTTTGGTTTATTGACTAAAATGTCTGGTCGCTATCATCTGCCACTAGACTTCCATATTAGTAGACATAAATCAAGACCAGTCCCGGTAAGATCTTAAAAACATATTCTGTGTCCTCAGCAGGCATGTTTAAGGTATTTTTAGGATCAGAAAAGCCCATTAGTTTGGGAAGGAAAAGTATTTTCATGTGAGTTGTGGGGGCTCATGTCCAGAGGTCCAGAAAGGAGCCAACCCCCCCCCAATGACCTAACGGCCCCGGCCTGGGTTCCAATGTATGTCCCCCCAACAGCTTTAGAAATAGCTGCTAGCTGGGACTGAGGAAGGGGTGTTGGGCATATGCTGGTTCTCTGGCCTCTGGGTCAAATTCATTTTGCCACGTTGGAGAGTGTGGAAGGAAAGAGAGTCCCACACCACTGCAGTGGACAACTGACCATCTGTGGCCAGAGGAGGTCAGCCAGGTGGCCAGCAGCTGAATTTTGAATCAGGAAGCGAAGCTCTGGCACTAAACCAGGATTAGAAAGCATAAAGGGGGGGGGGGGTTAAATACAGTATGTGTCCCATTGTACCTTTTAGTTTTCTTGCTACAGTATGTGTTTTGTTTTGTCATGGAGTGGTCTTACTGTGAGAGGGGCGATAAATATGACTGCTGAAACTTCCTCCATTTTGGCAACAGCTGTTGTTTAGAATGACACAAGGCTACTGTAGTGAGTAGGTTTTAAAGTGCTGTACTTTATGAATATATTTGTTGTTTTGAATGGATAATACTTTTTCAATATAGAGTATTTTTATAAAGCTTGAGGTTAAACCTATTAGAGAGATAAGAGAAAGAACATATGAAGTCTGGCTTTGTGTGTACATTCTCCTTTTCCTCATGAACTACATTTTCGCCCTGGAATAATGAACATGGTTGACAAACAAGTTGTAGTAATGTGATATAGATAGATATCACCAAAACACACTTACTATGCCTTGGTTTTTCATTAGTTTTTCATTGAAACGGTTTTAATGACCTCAATTGTGCTTGTTTGATAGAAGAGCTGGCAGAGGTGTATTCCAGGGCTGTCTTTAGAGGAGGGGGAAGCTGTTATTGTGGAGCAGATTTATGGTGTGTTTTATGACTGCTGTGAGCAGAGCTATTGGAGGAGCATTCACATCAAAGGCTTTCATTGTGTTAGGCTTTGAGGGCCACAAAAGAGACTTCATTGACCAAGAGTCAACCAAATTCAGCCCCTCACCACTGGTAACCAAGCTTTTAAAGGCTTTCTGTAAATACATATCCATGGAATGTGACATGTAGTATGACGTGTTGAAGAGGAGGATGCATCACATTTATCTTCCCAAAGGTTTCCCCCCTCAGGGGAGAGACTTCCTGTTGGAGAGGAGACACAGCAGTTTAATTTGTCACATATTACAGTCAGTGTCAGATAGGTTTTAGGTATGATTTCAGTGCCTGTCCATGGCACCACATTTTAACAATGTTGATTTCAGTTAGTGGAGAGTTAAACAGAGAAACAGCTTCAGATAAAAATACTGACTTGACTCAGTTTTCACTTCAGATATGCTTTGGTCAGTTTGGTGTGACATAGATAATAAAACATGAGAAGTGTAACATTAAGTCATTTTTTCTTTTTGTGGATGTGACCCACATCTCAAAACGGGGTATTTTAATTAAAACTGGGTGTTCTCATCAATTTGGGTCTGCTTTAATGTCCATGTTTGCCCATAATTGAGTATTCTCTGTCTCGATTTGACCTCCCAAGGACAGAACAACAGTGGAAAGGGCATGTCCCTATTGATATTGTTCACTGTTGTTTGAGTGGCAAACCATTAATTATGTCCCTTAATAAACTATCCTGATGAGCAGAGGTGGCTGGCCCTTCAATTTGCTCTGCAACCAATCTGAGCAGACAGTCACAAAACAAGCAGAAACCGTGGTATACATATTGTGCCCAATATGACATTGTTTTCTCACTGGCTTTTAATCAGTCTACTTACTATTGAATTGATGAAGTGTTTTACCCATTAGAAAACACTCTGGATACTTCTCATAACAATATGATTTACCCTCCATGGCATGTCTGAAGTACAGAGCAAAATGGAGCTTCAATTAAAATGTTAATTGGATTTTATCCAGGATTACGCTGTAATGTCTCTGATAGTAATGCAATTAACAGAGGCTTTAACTTTAACTCTTTACTTCACCCAAGGACACTTGTGACAGTCACACAGGTTTGGAAACCACAACCACACACAGCCTAGAGAATGTGTTCGATCAGTCAGGGATTATGAACAACACCAATCTCACTGAGTGACTTGATAAGTATTTCAGATCCCTGGGATCTAAATTCACTTAGCTTTGATGTGGTAAAGACAACAAGCCAACCGTTACTGTATTATCGAGTCTAACAGAAAAAAAACATTAACATGGTTGGGTTATAAATCTGTAATAGAAACAGACCAGCTCTGCTCTGGCGATTACTAAATTATCTCTTAAGACCATTCCACATGACTGAAAGGGCTCTCTAAGTGAGGAATGTGAGAGGTTGTAGCTCAGTGTATAAATGGACATGGTGTTGAAATACATTCATGTTTATTCTTCTCGCGACACAGTCAGGGTTGAAATACCTCCCATACCTGTTGGCACCAGGACTGTGTTTACTGTAGTAGATTTATCTCATAGCTTGGGGCCACCATGCCCATCGTGGAGTGGTCTTTTCTCTGGGAAAACGTTAGTTATTGCATGCCTGGTGTCAGATAAAAGATAGATGGGTATTAGTGGGCCCACTACATCAATAAACTGTGTGTGTGTGTGTGTGTGTGTGTATGTGTATGTGTATGTGTATGTGTATGTGTATGTGTATGTGTATGTGTATGTGTATGTGTGTATGTGTGTGTGTGTGTGTGTGTGTGTGTGTGTGTCAGAGGGAGATATACACTCCCCCTATGATATATGCTGTTGTGTGGATCAGTGTGGGAGTTGACATTTATGGCCCTGGCTCAGACCCTGCTTGCTGTGGCCTGGGGGGCCATTCTCAGGGCAGAACAAAGCCTTAGGGGCCTGCAGGATCTGCAAAACGGCTGTAAAAAATCAGGTGACCACAAACAGCTCAAGAATGTCCACTCAAATACAAACTGGCATCATAATTTATGGGGAGAGCAAAGCCTTGCAAGATTAACCCAACGGGAATGATTAACCCAATGGGAATGACGGGAAAATGAACCAGCTTCACTTTGGTGTGTCTTTACGCAATGGCAGTAAAGGTTAGGCAGATTGTGTATTATTCTGAGGAAATTAGTTTTTAACTTTTCTCAAGCAAAGTGAGTAAGGCACAACAAGTTTGAGTGATGTTAGTTTTTGTGATTGAGTGATATTAGTTTTTGTGATATCTAAGAAGAAACATTTGGCCTTGAAGCCACACACAGGGTGATTATTGCCCATTATTATGTGGCAACTGAAGCATATCTTATGTTTGTGAGGGATTTGGTGTTGTTGAATGAGCCAGGGCTAATACACATTTCCTTTTGACCAGGGTTTATTGTGAGTGGCGGTTAGTGCAAGCATGGGTGACTCCATACAGAGGGGGAGGTTTGTGTGGACACCTTTTATCTTCAACCATGGAGATCCTTGATAACCTTACCCAAACCATGTGGAAAATGAACACTTCAATGCATTTCCATGGAGTAAAATTCCATATTTTCTCCTAAATTGCTTACAGAAAACTTTTGCAAGTTTTTAATTTATTCTAGGTCAGAAAAACAATATTTTTAACAAAGTATAACCTTAGGACACTCCTAGGTTACAAAGAGCAGTTAAGCTGAACAATTGAGCTTGCCATATCTAATCATGCTTTCATTATATCGGCTATGAAATTGCCCATTGAAGAGTTCTGCTCTCTCTCTTCACCATTTCCTCCTATTGGCACTATTTATCATCATTTATTAAGTGGCTTTTTATTTTTGTCTCTTGGTGTTTTTCCCTCTTTTCTGCTCAGTTTCCCTGCTTGACCCTCCCCCACTAAGAGCGGTGTCCATAACCCCTCCTTTGGCAGGATTTAGCTTGCCCAGATTCCATGTCAAAGTTCATGTCCCAGATGTCACAGCCTGCCCCCTCTCCCAGCCCCTCTCCTGCATAATACGGCGGGCTCATTGTGCTGTGGACCTGGGCAGGGGTGGGACTGTGGGACCCTGACTGCTCCTTTTCAGAGATGGACACTGAGGCCGAACAAAAGCCCCTGGGTCTGTCCAAAGCCAGCCTGACTGTGGACACCACAGTGGACATGGGACAGGAGGAAGCTATGCACTAATTTATTGTCTTTTACTAGAGAAAGTAAAGATATAGGAACCTCAAAAATATGTGCAGTTATTTTTATTTTTTTATTTTATATTTTATTTTTAGTCATTTTAGCAGACGCTCTTATCCAGAGCGACTTACATGAGCAATTAGGGTTAAGTGCCTTGCTCAAGGGCACATCGACAGATTTTTCACCTAGTCGGCTCGGGGATTAGAACCAGCAACCTTTCGGTTACTGGCACAACGGTCTTAACCACTAAGCTACCTGCCGCCCCTGCCGCTTCCTGTTGTTGTTTTCAACAAACAACAACTCATTAGCATAACTACATGTTTTCTGTAATAAATGACTTCAGTAGCCTAGTCATTGACCCATCTATAATGTAGAAATATAAATAGAGAAGCTTCGTATTTTTATGCAGGCATATTATCAGTAATATTTCCGTTTATCTACTCTTTAGAGGATACTACATAGCTTCAAATACACTTTTAAGTCGTTTTTCTCCCCTCCTGCAAGTCACTTATCTTTCCCCATTAAGGCTTAGGGCACAGAGAAAGGGGAAGGATTCTGAGGGAGAAAAAAAAAAGAGGCTCAACTCGTATTCCACACCCATGACCTCAGATTCCTTCTGAGTTTTATCTAGGCCTGACCTGCTGGCTCCATTGAGACTCCTCAGGGCTAGGGGTCTTAGTGGCTCAAACCCTCAAACCTCTCCTCCTCCCCATCCCCCTGCCTCCCATGGCCCTGACTCCACCCCCTGGAACCTCCCGTAGCCTCAAGGCCCTCAGATCGATCCTAGAAAAAACACAGTTGTTTTAGCTCTTGGAGCATAGTAAACATGATGAGACGGTTGTTCAACAAAGTGGTTGGATTTTTCACAATGACTGTAATTGCTTTTTTGATATGTTCAACTCTTTTGAAGATATAGAACCTGCTCACCATTACAATATATATTTTCACATACATGCAGTGAATATGTCCCTCTAGCAGTTTGTCAGATTATCAACATGGGTTACCCTGGGGTTTAGATAATCTAATTTAAGGTTTCCAAACTCAGTCCTGGGGCCCCTCCTGGGTGCACATTTTGTTTTTTTGCCGTAGCACTACACAGCTGATTCAAATAATCAAAGCTTGATGATGATTTGGAATCAGCTGTGTAGTGCTAGGGCAAAAATCAAAACATGGGGCAGGACTTTTATTAATCTCTGTTGAGACATGACCACAGAAGCTGTTAGTAACATAGAACTCATAAATGACTGCTTCTGTGACTGGAACTGAGGATACGTAAAAATGTATGCACACATGACTAAGTCGCTTTGGATGAAAGTGTCTGCTAAATGGCATATTATTATTTATTTATTATTTATTATAGACCTGACCTCAGTTTGAATCCACACTCCTGTGCTCCTCTCAACATCTGTGTCCTGGAGCACAACCCAGTGGTCATGTTCTACACTGCATTACTGTTCCATGGTGAAAGGGAAAGGGGGATACCTAGTCAGTTGTACAACTGAATGCATTGAACTGAAATGTGTCTTCCGCATTTAACCCAACCCCTCTGAATCAGAGGTGCGGGGGGTTGCCTTAATCGACATCCACATCTTCGGTGTCCGGGGAACAGTGGGTTAACTGCCTTGCTCAGGGGCAGAACGACAGATTTTTACCTTGTCAGCTCGGGGATTCGATGCAGCAACCTTTCGGTTACTGGTGCTCACTATTCCACTGACTATAGTTTTGTTATTAGTACCTTTACTCTGTACATCTTCTTGTGAAGTACTGCAGTCTAACTATATAATTCTGTAAAGCATAGATTACTTTCTATATACCCACCCTCTTCAAAATCTGTTCCAGTTGGATAATGATGTCTCATCCCACAGCCTCTTACGTAGGCCTATGATGTGCTGTAAGATCTCATGTAAGGCTGTGCAGCAGTTCAGTTTCCTCTAGACTAGTGGATACTGTATTTCAGTGCTGTTTCAACAACTGACGACTGAAATGCAAATCAATATGTCCCACAGTGTTTTTCAAAATAAACGTATTAAATTAACACTCACAGATTGAAGATCATTTGCTCAGATTCCTCTGCATACTCTGTGTGTAATGATGGGTGACATACTTTGAAATATTGAAGAGCCTTGGAATTCCTAGGAGGCAGTAAGTCATTAGTTTGATAGATCCTCAGCTATTTCAGCCAGGTCTTCAAGGTTGCAGCAGGAGCTTCCTGTAATTGCCTGTGTAATGATATTTTAATACACTGCAGCCGGTTCACCCAATACAGTCATACTCTAGCTCAGACAATTTTTCTGGAATGAGTTATACTATTGTTACGAACAAGACTGGGTAATAACACATTAAGATGATTAAAGTATTACCTTTCCAACCCCATCCTCCTCTTCTGAATATGTCATGCACAGTAACCTGGTTATTCCAGGATGACAAGAGATCATAGTCTAGGAGAAAAATGAGGCAATCAAAGCAGATATGAAGTGAAACATTTGGATAGTGTTTGGCCTGAACTCTTTATCAGTGGCCTTTTGGGTACAGAGAAGACATTTGACTTAGCAGCGTTTGTTCTACCTGGGGTCTGTAAGGCCACTGAATCTGGCCATGTGACTGACCGCTCTGTCTTTCCTAGGGGGGGGCATTGTCTAGTGGTTTAACCCCCCTGTCCTGGAGCTGAATAGGACTGACCACTGGCCAGCAGCCCTGGGTGGGGGAAGGGCTCCCCTATTCTCCCTGAAAAGGCCCAGTGACAGAGTGATGGATAGAGGAGCGCCTCTATTGTGTGCCCCGCTCCCAGCACTCTCTCCCCCACACAGCCAAACGCCAACCCTCACTGACCTCTCAGCCATGCTCTTTCTGTTCCAGCACCCTCACAGCCTACTGGTTGGAGAAATCACACAGCCTCTGGTTCAGTGTAATGCCCCCTAGTGGACAGACACACTCACTTCCACTTTAGATCACATTGCAAAAAAGGATACTATACCCATTGGCCTACAGTGAAAGATATGTAAATGTTGTTATTTTTTTAGACCCAAGGAAGAAGTACCATGTGAAGCTCCTGGCGTTCAGTTTCATAGGAGATGGCTACCAGGCAGACCAGACTATCAGCACCCCTGGATGTGTCTGTAAGTTCTTCACATAATGCAAGAAACCATTGTCTATAATGATAGATGAAAGCTATGATAATGATAGTTATGATAGATGATAGTTCTGATAGATGATAGTTCTGATAGATGATAGTTATCAATCCTTCGATGCATGAGTACCTCTAACATTGTTTTTTGTTTTTTCTGTGTGTATCAGCGGTTCGTGATCGTATGGTGCCCCCTCCGCCACCCCCTCACCACGTGTATGCCAAGGCCAACAGCTCGTCTGCCGTGTTCCTCCACTGGGGGCGTCCAGCCTTCACCTCCAGCCAGACCGTCAACTACACCATCCGCTGTAACCCTGTGGGCCTTCAGAACGCCTCCCTGGTGCTCTACCTGCAGACGTGAGGGTCCTATATAATACTTTCCTCTTCATACCCCATAGCACATAGTCATATAACTGGATAGAGGGTGCTTAGTATGGCCATATGACTCAGGGTAGCACTTAGTACGGGTTTAAGCATTTGCAGGTCAATGGCCAAAGTATTGGATCTGATTAATAATCTCCATATACAGTATATGTTCTAAATACATTTTTATCATTGTGGTTCTCCTCTACAGTACTGAGAAGAACATCCTGGTCCCGGACTTAGAGCCCAACACCAGGTATGAGTTTGCTGTCCGCCTGCACCTTGACCAGCTGTCCAGCCCCTGGAGCCCTGTGGTCTACCAGAGCACTCTGCCTGAAGGTGAGCACCAACATGGCTTCATACAGCAGCACATGCTGTATAGATGAGTAGAATATACTCTCAACCTTTTTGGGCTCCGATGGTATTTCCTAGCCTACTGAAATAGAATACTTACTGAAATTATTGTGCCTGTCTTAAGACTGCTTATTTGCCCAGGACTCTCGCATTCTGCAAACAAATCACAACTAGAGTGCAACCACTTGACAGAGCCTTGACAATGAGCTCTCATTTTCCCTCTAATGGGGATTTGCTCTTGAAAGGATTAGAAAAATACACACAGGAGCAAATTCATTGAACTGCACAGTACTCTATATGCTCAGTCTCTCACTGCATTATTACACATATCTACAACATCTCTAGGGAAAGGGATCATAATCAAGGGCCACAGCTTGTGAGATGTAGTTATCCTTTTTAGTGACATCAAAGAAGCTACTCTGATTGAAATGTTGCTTTGGTCTAGGCCCTGGTTCAGACTTTAATTTTCAGTATTCCTCAAAACTCATTACCAGTTACGAAGAGCAAATATTTTTTTATGACAGTTGTACATCTTTGTCAGCGATTTAGCCTCAGGGGTAAAACTGTCGTTTTTTCTTTCCCCAGCACCTACTCTGCCACCGTCAAGTGTGAAAGTGACTCTGATCGAGGACGACACAGCGCTGGTGTCATGGAAACTTCCAGATGAGCCCAACTTGGCGGTGACACGTTATACCATCCTCTACGCTTCCAGGAAGGCCTGGGTAGCTGGAGAGTGGAAGGTGCTGCAGAGAGAAGGTGAGCTGAAGAGAGAGTAAGAGAGAGAGAGAGAGAGAGAGAGAGAGAGAGAGAGAGAGAGAGAGAGAGAGAGAGAGAGAGAGAGAGAGGAGCCGCAGGCTAAACTGGGCTGAAGAGACAGAGAGCCCTGCCCCAGCTCCACACCATACAGGCCATTGGAAATCAATTCATTTCCTCCTCCGATCCATTTCTGTATTTGTCACTAATCATTGTGATCTCTGGTTGTTCCTAGATAACCCCCTCCTGTTGTCTTACCAATCAAAGGATGGATTCTATACTGGGAGCTTTGATTTAACACTGGGGGGGAGAGTATGATCTGTCTTTGTGGCTTTAGGTCCAATATTCTCATTCTCCTCTTCTAAGTGAGTGAAGTGAAGGACTTCAATCACTCAATATTGTAATCATTAAACCTGAAACACACTGGTCAAGAGCGCTGTAGTTACTATGGACTACTGCCATACAGTTAATGTGGCCATAGCAACACACATACATGTTTTCTGTACCCAAAGACCTCACGTGTGGCAGTAAGTAATACTGTTCAGCTCCTGGGTAAAGAACACAGATTCTGGGTAGCATAGGCATAATTGAGAGCAGATGACTCCAGGAAATGTGAGGCATCTGATCTTTCCTTCTAAGCCACAGGTGAGGGGGTCAAAGGTGAGGCTGTTCACAAAGCCATCCTACCCTGCCCCAGCCCCCCACCACTGTAAATCAACCCTGTCACCCCAACCGTTACTGCTGGGACCTCAGTGGAGCTGGGTGGTACTGGGGGGGGGGGTTAGATCCCCCTGATCCCTGACCCTCCGTCCTTTGCCTGACAATCTGGTCACAAATAGCCCTTCATATGCCTCAGGTTTTTTATGTGTGTTTTTTTTCCACTGAGTTGTAAAACCCCTGTTCTTCATGGGTCAGTTGAAAAATGGGAGAGAGGAGCAAAAAAAGTCAGGCCTGACATATTTCCTCCAGTTCCACAGTTCATTTATTTAGAGATTAATTTGAACAGCTATGTTTAGGAACACATGGAGAATGACAACACCGCAGCGTGTTGAAACAATATTCCCATTTACATTTCCTTTTATTGCTGAGGCTCAAATGGGTTGACATAGGTCACTAATCACTTATTTCTCTGTGATAGGGAGCATCACCATGGCTCTCCTAGAGAACCTACAGCCGGGGAACATCTACCTGGTCAAGGTGTCTGCGTCCAACGATATGGGAGACGGGCCGTTTTCACACACCGTGGAACTGGCCGTGCAGAACGATGGCTCCACCTCCGGTCACAACCCCAGGCGCTCCCATGGCTCAGCTACAGGTTAGTGACTAATGTTGTGTGTACTTGGTCTTTCTTTCATTGACTTTCATGACAGGATTCCTCTTGTTGTCATCACTTGACCTACTAGATGTACTTCAAATGCAATAGCTTTGCCTGCAGCCTTGGTCTCCTGCTAAATTATTTACACTGTAATACATCTCTGTGAATGTCAGGGGAGGTGATTGTCAGCTTTATTGATTTTGATACACAGTGTGGAGATGTAGTACCCACACAGAGCCTATATAGAAGTGTATGACTTGTCTCCAGTGGCTGTCTCATCACTTGTGACAACTGTCTTGCAGTGTTCTCTGGTGGCTTCTACCACCTGGACCAGAAGTCGATGACAGGGATCATCGTGGGGGTTTGCATTGCACTGATCTGCATCATCATCTGTGCCTTCATCATTGTCTGCAGAGGCAAAAACAGGTAACAGATTCAGTGTGCTTTTTGTTTTTTGTAATAGTTGTTGTAACTTGATATGAGATTACTTTTCTGACAGCCCAGTTGGTTTGGATAGAATATTTCTATATTAATATTGTATGATTGTTTGACAGGAAATCGTCAGCTACTAAAGCCATCAGGCAGGGGGCTGGTCAGGTCCCCTCTGCTGCAGTCCACCTGGGTTCTGAGGGCCAGGCTGAGAATGCTGATGTCACGGAGCCAATGATGAGGGCAGACCACTTCATTGATGCCAAGGTAAGGGGATATGGCTCAGTTACGCCCTTCCTTTCCTCTAACATTTCCTATTGCATTATGTCTCCAAAGCACATGGAAAATAACCAATGTAGACAGATTCAGAGCATTGCGAATTTCATTTAATTTCCAGGGTGGAACAAATCTGATCATCAATAGCCTCGGACCAGTTTACCCAATCACTGAGAAGAAAAATAAGTGGTTTCCCTTCAGTAATCAGAAAAAACTGAATGTTAAGAAAAGCCAGGTAAGAAAGATAACAAACAAAAGTGTTCAAGTAATATAACATTACTTCAATAGAACATAATAGAGGTGAGACCAGCAGATATTCCTCCCTTTATCCATATTAATAACCTTCTTTGTTCACCCTTTCCTACTTACTCAGACCCAGAGGAAGAGCCATGGAATCTGCTCGTACCAGCCAGGAGTAACAGTGCTGTGCTACGAGGATGAGTCTCTGTCGTCACCCAACCAGCCCACCTCCCTGCAGGTCCTGTTTGGCCCACCTGTTGACACAGAGGGCTCCTCCAACAGCGAGGGCAGCCACGAGACAGGCGACTCGGGCCGTTACTCTCACGACGAGACAGAAATGACCAACCTGTCCTCTGGTCCCAGCAGCAACCCTGCGTCTCTGAGAGAGGAGGAGAGCGGGGGGTCAGGCTGCAGCCCTGCCCAGGAGAGTGAGGGGGAGCTGGGGGAGCAGTCTCACCTCGACCTGGAGATTGGAGACTCCATGGAGAAACCGTGCCACCATCACCACTATCAGGCCCCAGACAATTCCCAGCCTGCACATTCTCTCTAGCAGTGTGTGTGACCTCCCATCAATCCCCCAACCCTAAACCCACTCCACTGTTCTAAAAGACAATGAGCAGAAATCCAAAAATCCAGGTCTTTGGAAGAACTAGGCTCTGGTTTGGGCTCTGGTGATTTCTATCAAAGAATCTTCTTCTAGTGAATGTGTACCTTTTTTCATTTTATTTTTATTCTAAATGTTTGTTTGTATGTGTTTGAAAGAAAAATCTCACCCACCATGAATGTTTCAAGAGATTGTAAAAAATGTGAAATGTGACTGTTACATTTCTGACATTATTTAAGAGTTTATCACTGGAGCAAAGTGTAGAGTGAGCCCTTCTTTTGCTGATTATCTACCTCAGTTTACCTCTCGGTAAACTCCAACTATATATTTAATAATAACGACTTATACCTGAGTTATGTAAGGGGTCTCTTCCTTTATGTAACAACTGATACTTCCTGATGGCAATAATTTGTTTTTGCTAGGTAAGATTCGTCCTGTATTCATTTTCTTCCTTGTTTGTAATGAAGTACGGGATTGTAAGGGTACTGCAGATCTCACTTAAAGCTTTGTTATTTATTTTTTAAATCACAGGTTAATTGGACTATTTCTCAGGTTACTTTACAATAAGCTTTGAGTGTTTGGCTATGGTATATTGAAGGCCAGTACAATTTACTACATAAGATGCTGAAATTCAATAAAAGCCAGTATGACACAATGTACTTTTCAGGTTATCCATAGTAATAATGGTTAACAAATTATAATTTTTTGTTTTCTTTGTCAATGTGCAGTTGCCCTTGCAATTCCTGTTTTATACTACCTCTTTTTAAGCATTATTTTGTTGTGTTATTATTCTCCTAAACTCAGGGAACAAGGTTTAGTACATTTGAAAAGCCATGCATTGTGTAATGTACCATGGTTGACTGACAGGGTATCTTCTTAGTGCTGAACTGCTCATTGTAGAGGGTAGTTGCCATAGATCTGTTATGAATGTATCTCTAGAACAAGGTCAGTTACGGTTCAGAGCCTTGTGATGCCCTACTCACAGGTGGAAAAACCTTCTCAGTTTTAATTCAGTTGGAATTATGTGTCTGTGGAATGGCAGGCTATCCTTTGTTGGTTGATTTTTATCTTTTTGGTTATTTTGGGAAAGAACATACCAAAAATGCTTGTGTCGACCTGTTTCAATACAGCAGACCTTAAAAGCTTTATAAATGGCCTTAATGGGGAAAGAGTCCCTCAGATGTCGGAGATAAACAGAAAGGCTCCTATACCAAAGTCCGATCCATCTGAGGTCCAACTCTTTGACACATGGGGATGGGAGAAGTGTGAAGAATGATTGTTGAAAACCAAAAGCGTTAAATCAGTGCGATGGAAGTGAATGGAATGAACACCAAAAAAAACTTTTATCTCTAAAGATATCTATATTTTTGTCGCCTGTTGTGTACTACTGAGTACAGATTCTAGTTACTTTTGTTCTTTAAGTAGTTGATACATTTTCATAGAGTAGAAAAATAAATTTAGCACTTGTCAGATTAGTTTGATTTGTTGATCACAGCCAATGTGCAGCGGTGACTGATGCTATCATACAAAATAATTGTTTGCTCCCTCAAGTTTGTTTTTGATCTCTCAGCGGGTCCCTGGGAAAATTACAATGATGAGGTTTTTCTCATGTATTAGACCAAAAATCAAACGCAGATCAGCTGAGATGCTGCTTCTAAGACAAAGCCTTGCACATGTGTGCCCCCGTTCTGTGACCAACTGAGTTGAGATGCGGATTCTCTCTCAGAAAGTGCCCCCAGGATTTTGGGCCCTTGATAATGGTTAAAGTGACAATTATAATCAATGTCATGCACACTAACCAAATCATCCTATTATTGGTTTTCTTTAGAGCTTTACTGTTGCAACTAGATATGTGTACATTGTACGGGGAAATTATATGCAGAGCTATATACAGTATATTATATTGATTCTCATCCTACATTGCAACAGTATTTTCAATCAACAGTTTTCTGACTAATAGGATGACAGTTTGCATGAAGTGTGACACAATCAGTTTTACTTTCTTTTGAATGGCAAACAATGTATACCAAAGAATTCAGGTCACTGTTGCGCATTGGCAAGAGATCCATTTTAGACACATATCTTTGCATGATATTTTGTTATTTTATATGGTTCCAAAAGCTTTATCCCCATTTAGGTTTTGATTACTACATAATAAATGGGTGTCTATTAGACCACAAACCAAGATGAAAGTGGTACACCGTTAGTGCTTTTAAACATTTGTTGTTATTTGTCATTGAAGCAAAAAATAGACAGATTTTTCTACATTCTTTTTTACTTTTTCTCACTGGAGGAGATATTATATATTATCGTTATTTCAATGGGGTTTCGTATACCCCAGTTTTGAGAAAGTACCAACTGAATTTAGTTTTTCCTAGATGCCTAAAATGTATTAATCTTTGATACGAATGTGAATACCCCTTTAAACTGTTGTAGATGAGCATTAGTCTGAAAAGCTGTGTTAAAATGTCAAGTTCATATTGTATATGGAATATTTTAGTTGTTTTTTCTTTTTATTTACATGTGTAATCCTCTGTATTGTTATAATGCCTGGTGACTGCAATCCAACTCTCTGATAACAATTAAAAGCTGGAATAGTCAAGTTATTATTGAGCAGGTGCAGTAACAGTATTGTTTTTGTATTTTCAATTGTGATGGAGTAACCATAGGGTTCTCATTCTTATATATGTTTTCAGAATCAGAATGTTTGAGAGGGTTCTGCCTTCTCGTATTGGTTGTGAATGTCCAATAAGTGATATACCGTTGTCTACCTCAGGTTCCTCTTCCAGCTTTTGACAGAGATGTGATGGATGCTATAGTCAGAGGGGGTCAGTGTTATGCAAGAGATGGAAGAACGAGTCCTGTGTCTCTTAAATTTGAAGAGTTGTGTTCTCTCTTTGTTGAAATGTTGTTTTTTTTCTGAACATGTGAATATAAAGGGATGAAGTGGAGGACTTGGTTTGAATCATCATTCTCTGGTGCTCTGAGTCCTCTTTTCTTCTGCAGTCACGTTTTTCTGTTAAGGCTGTGCTGCTGGCTTTAGCTGCAATGGTGGAGCGCTGTGGGTCATTTACAGTTAAACTCAGGGGAACCCACAGCTGCTCCACAGTTGTAGTGAGAGTCGCTTTGGGACACAACATTGGGAGTCTGTGTAACCAATACACAGACTCTCGTTGTTGTGTTCCAAAGTTATAGTGAGAGCAGGCACAGGCCTTGAAATTGAATGTACCTTTTGTCATTATTTTGTGTTAATGTTTTGTTTTCCTTTTTTCTGTTGGCTCTTTGTCTTTGATCACAACACCAACTGCTTTTCTTCAAGGTATTCAGGGAAGCCTTGGTCCTTACTACAACTTTCTTCATGACAAAAATGTTATAGCCTACTTGTCCAATTAAAGTAAAAAATGATTTAAACAATAAATAATTTCGGAGAATTACTGATTCTGAGTTATATATATAAAAATATATATATATAACACTTCTAGCATGTATTGGTATGTCTGTTCTTATCGTTACTCTAATACAGTCTCTAATAGTTTTATAATAATACTCTAATATTTGTTTTGTATTAGCAGTTTCTTATAATAACCTTCTTTGTAACTCACACATTTGCCATATTTGATCACACAATCCATATTTCCATGAATTTGTGTTTGCTATTAATTCTTGAAGGTGAACTTATTGTATCACGGAGTGTGGGGCATGGAAGGGACACATCAGGCTTACCTGGACGGTCCATGTACGTTTCGTCATTTTGATTTCTGAGTCAAAACAGAGAGTGGAAAAAACGTTTTTTGTTTTTGAATTTGACATGGAATAACGGAAAACAAATCACAAAAAAAATAAAATAATAATCAGATTTCCATTATTTCTGTAGCAAACTTACCTAGATCTTCTGTCGACTTATGGTGTTTATTGACTAAATACAAATTAACAGCAGTTACTGTAAATGGTTACCTATCTGGAACTTTGCGTAGCTAACATAGCTATTGCATACACCTACAACAATATCCAATTAAGCTATAGTCAGTGCTGATGTGTGTGTGTGTGAGTTCTGAATGTTCCCACAGGAGAAAAGCACAGTATGGCATCTCAGCTAATCATCATGAACTTCATGTAGTTACATCAGCCAATAAAGTAAGTTAAAATAAGCCTTTTTATTGGTATGGGTATACTTCACCAACATCCTTTCCTGCTGACTGAAAGGCAGACGGATGCTATACTCTTCAGTTGTGAACACGACGATTGCTGCGACAATTGGCCTACTTATCTAAATGTATACAGGTGTAGGATCTTAAAATTTGATCACGCTGTTGTTGCAGGAAATTTCCTGCAGAGCAGGAAATGCAATCTTGCAATGTATTCAAGGTTTAAAAAGGCTTCTAAAGTTTGTAATTTCTACATTAAAATGTCAGACTTGATTTGCCCTAACAAAACATTTATCAACCCTTACAAAACTGTCAGTTAATTATAATCCACACAATAATTCACATTTCCTGTGGCTGCAGGATTATTTTCCTACTGAGAAATTGATCAAATTAAGGTCCTACATCTGTACATACATTAACTTAATTAAATAGGCCTTTTTCATAAACAAACTTCGCTTGTAACTAATAAAATATTCAATTTGATTTAATTTTTGATCACAGGTGTATTACTTATCAAGAGATTGAAGGGAGGTAGGGGGAGAGGGATTTTCTTCAACCAAACCCATTTATACCCATCTATCCACTCTCTCCCCCCACACCCACAAGTGCCATCTATCAACTTTCAGTAAAAACCACACTTGAAGCAAATTTAAACATTGAATCAAAGGGAAGTTGAACAAGAGTGAGCAAAGTTTAGTATAAGGGAGATAAAGTAGTTGGTCTGGCAACATGGGATTGGTGCCAACAGCAAAACAACTTCCCCTAATGTATGAAAGAGAGAGAGAGAGACAGACAGAAACA